GCTTGTTGGTAAAGAGTTTCCTACCGGTCACTGGTAGCATAGTGGTTGTCGCATCAGACTCATGATCGGTAGACCCAAGTTCAAATCCTACCTTAGGCTGAACATCAAAAGGGTCAACCCCTACCCTGGGTGAGTGTACCACAGACTCAATGGGAAGGCCAATTCCATTGGCCGAGATTCATTCACTAACAAATGCGACTTTGGGGGAACCTTGGTTAAGGTCTGGGCCTGGTTGACGCCAGGATAGCGCATTACAAATTGCCATTTGACAGAGAGATATGGCCACACAGCCCTGTCATGTAGTCCCAAACATGAATATGACTTCTGTGGCGGCAAAATGCACTATGTGTCGTCACTAGCACTTGCAATTTGCACATAAAAAAAAAAAAATAGTCAGGAGAGACAACAGTGACACTCAATGTCTGAAACTGTCACCTGGCACAAAAAATATTTAAAATATATATATAAAATATATATCCTTTGTTCAAAATGAGAACACAGCACAAATGTGTATAGTACAGACGATGAGTCCTCCCTCCCCCCCCCCCCCCTTTAGTCTATGGTCTAACCACACCACACCACACCACAAATTTGATTGTGAAAACATGAAACCATTCATTGACCATCATTTTAATATAATACTGAATTTTTACAGTGACCACTGAGACTATTGTGAATGGGGTGTGATTTAGTAAATTATGCTGTTGACAACCGTGAATAATGGTATACTTCCTCACACTGAGTTTACCTTTCAAATATTGCGAATTACATTTTTTTTTTAAATTATTTTCGCTGAAATCAATGCCAACTGATTGTTTTTAAACATCGCAGTAATTCATTTTCCCATGTTGTTAAAAAAAAATTACTATCATCAGTATTCATGGAGAACTGTGTCAGTACGATACAGCATTCTCATTGGGCCTGTCAGGTTAGAGGATGCTGTCAAAGGTTAAATCGTGCAAGAAAATACATGGTGGAAATTGCTTTAAATCAAGTACAACCAAAAACATTCAACATCAAAGATAATGATGAAGATTTTGTTTCCTGACTGTTTAAACTGGCTTACACTACCATGAAAATTTTCTTCAGTACATAACGTGCATATGAACTGAATTTTAAATATATCTCAACTATAATAGCATTTTAAGCCGGAAAAGGGGCTGACACACACCATTTAATTTAGCTGTTATGGTTGCTGAATCACCTCTCAGCACAAATAAATTTGATGCAAAAATAAAGCATTCTACAATACAGAAAATAATTAAGAATCTAAGCAAGTGAAATTTCAGGTTCAAATATAAATAGAGACTTATTCTTATAACCAGTCTGAGAAAAGAGGGTGCCAGATCTTTTATAATTTTGACTCTGGTATAAATGCCATGTTTGTAAATACCAATTGAACTTTCTACAGTGATTGGCGCACGTCATTCAAACAGCAGGCTAGCCAATAGCATGTGCTGCTAAATATGCAGACAAGAAATGTACTGCCAAGATTACAAACATGCATCTTTGATTAAACATACAGTGAGAAAGAACTTGTCATTATTTTATACCATTGGACATAAAACAACATAAAAACCACAAGCACGAAGTCAGACTAGCAATGGTATTCCAAGAAAGATGAAGTCGCTATTACAGTAAAAACACCAAAACAAAACAAGGCCTCTTGTTGTGAATCAGAAAAAAACTAAATACAGAGTAGAATAATAACTGAAATCTCTTCATCTCTTTATGAATTTAAATAAACAATTAGTAACTTGGGCATTATTAATAACATTTACATTCGTGCATTTACCAGTGACAACAAATACTGGTACTTAACGACTGAAGCTCATTAAGTACACCTTGGTAACGGAAATATTGTGTTTGTTATTCAAGCACTTTAAATTCATATGTAATTTTAATCTTGCAGTACGCTTCTACTATATCAAACAAACTGAAGAAAATATCACAAAGTATGCACAAAGGCAGTTTGACGATTTTATTCATTAACGCTTATAGTTGGAGGTAGATGCAATCCCGTATTGCCCGAGTGCATACTTTGCAGTATTCTTGTGATAACCTATAAATAAACCTATAAATCTTTTCTGCTTTAGTCATAATTAAAGTACCAGCAAAAACTATTTTACAAGATTCGTGCAAACATGAATGTTTGCGTTCAGTGATGGGATTCTATTTCCGGCATTCACTACATTGCTCCTTCGTAAGCGGTAAACAAAAAAAGTATTTGAATGTGACGTAAAATGAGACATTTACATATTCGAACACGTCAGTACATGGTTTTACAGATGAATGAATTCTGTATTATACAT